TTTTAGTAGAGACGGGGTTTCACCGTGTTGACCAGGATGGTCTCGATCTCTTGACCTCGTGATCCACCCGCCTCGGCCTCCCAAAGTGCTGGGATTACAGGCGTGAGCCACTGCGTCCGGCCCTCTTTTTTTCTTTTCTGTTTTTTTGAGAGAGAGAGTCTCCCTCTGTCACCCAGGCTGGAGTGCAGTGGCATGATCTCAGCTCATTGCAACTTCGACTTCCTGGGCACAAGTGATCCTCCTGTCTCAGCCTCTGGACTATAGGTACTTACCACCATGCCCAGCTAATTTTTTTTTTTTTTTTTTGGAGAGACAGGGTTTTGCCACGTTGCCCAGGCTAGTCTCAAAACTCTGGGGTTCAAGCAATCAGCCTATCTCAGCCTCCTGAAGTGTTTCTGTTACAGGTGTGAGCCACCAAGCCTGGCCCAAAATGTCTATTTCTTGCCTCAGCTCTGGAATCAGTGATTATTCAAGGAAGTCCTGGTTCCCTTTAGTGACAAATTAGATTTAGAAACCACAGTCGCAGAACTGACCACCTCTCTACCTGGGAGCCCTCTCCTCACATCCCTCACATCTTCATGTGATCCTACTTCCTTGACTGTCTCAGCCTTTCCACAAGGGAACAAAAGATTAACAGATAAAGGAAACTCATGATATAGTCACGTGTCACCTAATGACAGAGTTGTATTCTGAGATATGCATCATTAGGAGACTTCGTCATTGTGTGAACACTGTAATGTTCTCACACAAATCTAGATTGTATAGCCTGGTACATGCCTAAACTAATACTCTAGACTATCCCTCCTAGGCCACAAACCTGTATAGCATATTACTGTACTGAATATTGCAGGCAATTGTAACACAATCATAACTATTTGTGTATCTAAACATATTTAAATATGGAAAGGGTGGCTGGGTGCAGTGGCTCATGCCTGTAATCCCAGCACTTTGGGAGGCAGAGGTTGGCAGATCACCTGAGGTCAGGAGTTCAAGACCAGCCTGGCCAACATGGTGAAACCCCCTCTCTACTAAAAAGACCAAAAATTAGCCAGGCATGGTGGCTTATGCCTGTAATCTCAGTTACTTGGGAGGCTGAGGCAGGAGAACTGCTTGAGCTTGGGAAGCAGAGGTTGCGGTGAGCTGAGATCACACCACTGCACTCCAGCCTAGGTGACAGAGCAAGACTCTGTCTCAAAAAAGAAAAAAAACCAGGCTGGGCACAGTGACTCTGTAATCCCAGCACTCTGAGAGGCCAAGACGGGTGGATCACCTGAGGTGGGGAGTTCGAGACCTGCCTGACGAACATAAAGAAACGCCGTCTCTACAAAAAATACAAAAATTTGCTGGTGGTGGCAGCAGCAAATGGCAGGTGCCTGTAATCCCAGCTACTCGGGAGGCTGAGGCAGGAGAAACGCTTGAACCCAGGAGGTGGAGGGTGCAGTGAGCCAAGATCACGCCATTGCACTCCAGCCTGGGCAACAAGAGGAAAACTTTGTCTCAAAAAAAAAAAAAAAAAAATCCCCACAAAAAATGTCTTCTATCCAGGCCGGGCGCGGTGGCTCACGCTTGTAATCCCAGCACTTTGGGAGGCCGAGGTGGGTGGATCACGAGGTCAAGAGATCGAGACCATCCTGGTCAACATGGTGAAACCTCGTCTCTACTAAAACTACAAAACATTAGCTGGGCATGGTGGTGCGTGCCTGTAATCCCAGCTACTCAGGAGGCTGAGGCAGGAGGATTGCTTGAACCCAGGAGGCGGAGGTTGCGGTGAGCCGAGATCGCGCCATTGCACTCCAGCCTGGGTAACAAGAGGAAAACTTTGTCTCAAAAAAAAAAAAAAAAAAAAAAAAAAGTCTTCTATCCATAACTCACCTTATGTCTCTCTTTTTTATTCACAGATTTCTTTATATTTTGAACCTTTCTTTTAATAATTTCTGAATTAAACAAAAGTTATTCTTTTTCACAAAAAAGAATACATATCTTCCCTGGCACATTTTATATAAACTTAGAAAGCAAAGAATGCTGAACTATCAGATATTGACATTCTATAGATGAGAACCATTCTATAATTTTAAAATTATTTATCTATTTTGAGACAAGGTCTCACTGTCACCCAGGCTGGAGTGCAGGGGTGCAATCTCAGCTCACTGCAGCCTCCACTTCCTGGGATCAAGTGTTTCTCCTGCCTCAGCCTCCTGAGTAGCTGGGATTACAGGCACCACCACGCCTGGCTAATTTTGTATTTTTAGTAGAGATGGGATTTCATCATGTTACTCAGGTTGGTCTCAAACTCCTGAGCTCAAGCAGTCGACCTGCATTGGCCTCCCACAGTGCTGGGTTTACAGGGGTGAGCCACCACGCCCAGCCAATTTTAAGATTTTAAACTACACAAAAAGTTCAACATGTAAAGCCATTTTAACCATTCGAAAGCCTATGAAAATCAGTATTTTATCTAGGTAAAAAGCTTTAAGTTAAGTTTTATAGGACACAATATTCCCTTCAAACTAACAAGTTTAGACTAGTCTTTTTTTTAATTTATGAGTGTTCTTTTATTTATAGGCCAATTTGTTTTGTTCTGTTTTTTTTTGTTTTTGTTTTCAAGACAGAGTTTTGCACTTATTGTCCAGGCTGGAGTGCAGTGGTGCGATCTTGGCTCACTGCAACTTCTGCCTCCCAGGTTCAAGTGAGTCTCCTGCCTCAGTCTCTGGAGTAGCTGGGACTACAGGCGTGTGCCACCATGCCCAGCTAATTTCTGTGTTTTAGTAGAGACGATGTTTCACTATGTTGGCCAGGCTTGTCTTGAACTCCTGATCTCAGGTCATCCACCCACCTCGGTCTCCCAAAATGCTGGGATTACAGGTGTGAGCCACCGTGCCCAGTCTATAAGCCAATTAGTATGCTAGATACAAGCATATCACACAAATGAAGTGACCTATACGAGACAGCTGGATTTGTTATTTATAAAATTGGGACCTGTCTACCTGGCCAAATATTGTTTGCTGCAATTGGTATAGAAGACAGGAAGAGGCAAGGAAGGGGCTCTTGTACCATCAAATAAGGAAGGAAAGAGGCAAAATCCATTGCTAAAGGGGAGACCTCAGAGTCGCTGAGCTGCCAGAGAGGTTACTCAGCAGCAGAGACACCAAAGAAAAATGTTTGGGTGGCTGCTTGTCTGCCACTGTGGGAAGCGGTCCATTGGATCAAGGGTCTGGGACCTCCAGTAAACTTACTTGATTGAGCAAGGTAGCTTGTTGGAGCTATTGGAAGGTTAGTCCTAACATCGACAGGGAGCTTTTTCCTCTCACCAGGGATGATTAGGACCTCCTCATTGCTGATTACCAGGGGCTGGTAAGTTGGGTGCTCTTGTCTGGGCATCCCAGACACCAATCTTGAGACACTTCCTGAGGCTGGGTAATCCTGAGGTAGAAGGGTGCTTACAGCATCATCAGTAATTGTTCTTTTTGGTTATTTCTTTTGGTCTTTTCCATTTTTGCCTTTTACTGTTATAAACGTTAAAGGCCATGTTTAAGAGTTGGTTCATAGGGGATTGAGGGTCTCACTGCTGCTCTGTGCAGCTTTCTCCTAATGTCAGAGCAGACTGAGTAATAAAATGCATACCCAGGAGAGCTTGCCTTCTAGGCAGTCTGAGTCTGTATTAGCATATTTTCTGAGTTTCTCAACCAAACTACCCAGAAAGAGTGAGATTTTCATCTTTACCCTGGATTACATCTCTAACCTTATCATAATTGACAGGGTTAACCATACACTCTCCTCTGCTTTTTCTCTATGGTACAGCAAGTGGACCACAATACTTACAAGTCATACCAAGTCAAAGAACATGGTCAATTTAACAAACTCTTCTATAAACTTTCATGGATTCTTTGAAAATTGGCAGAATTTTTCCTTCCAAAAAGCCAAATCAGACATAGAAAATGGCATGTGTATTCTAAGTATCCCCCCATCTCCATCAGCTACTTCCCACAATGGACACAGCTTTGACTTCAGGGGCTGATGTGGAGCCACATTTCTGGGGGTACTGGTTGGACTACTTTCTCCAGCAGCAGAAGTTTTAGGCTGGGGCTAGTTGGATAGGTGGAGGAGTGCCTGATGACCTTTGGGTGGAATCCTGTGTTAGAGAACTGGCAGGACCCCTCAGAATTGGGAGACTGAGGAGGCTCTGGGAGGGATTAGGCCTTCTAAGGGAAACAGCTAGGAGGGGGTCCCTTAGGCATGACTTTCTAGTGCCTTTTTTTAAATCCCCTCCATCCCCCAGTGCCTTGAAGTAACACTGAATCAGTAAAGGACCATGAAAGCCTGTATATAAGGGACCTCTCCCCATTTTCCTTCTTTTTAATGTTAATTGTAAAATAGTATTATAATTTATAGAAATATGTTTAGGCTAAATCTCTTGGCCTTCTAATTTGTATTGGACTCAAATGGTGTTGCAATAGGAAATGAGTTTCTTTTTCTTTAAGCCAAAATTGAATTTGCTCCAATAGCCTAAAAGGCATCCTAATGGTGAGTCCTAATGCTGAAAATCCCAGAGCATCCAGAGGGCGATCAACAGTGAACCCCATAGACCAAGCTGGGGCCACTGAACAATATTACTCTGGCATCCCAGGGTCAACACAACAGGGGACCTCTCATAACCAAGTGTTCAGCCTTAAATAACTGCCCAAATACAGTTAGCAGGGAGCCAAAGCAAAAACTGCAAAGAAAATATATATTTCAGGGTAGAAAATAAAATAAAATGGCTGACAGAAAAATAAAATGGTGTTAGAAAAGAAACGACCTAGAAAAGGGGCAATTGGGATGTGATCAGGTGTGCTATGGGGGACTTTGAATTGACTGTCTAAGCCAAAGGCCTTATTTTCCTGGCTCACCTGATATTTGGCGGGTGAGGTAAAAGGGATACTTACCTGTCCACAGGAGCCAAAATGGGGCCCCCTGGTCTCTGATGGGGGGTGCAGGTGAAGGAATGCTCCCCAGGCTTCCCTGGCATGGGCAGGCTCGGCTGCTGTGAGGAAACTGACATGTGGTCCTGCAGCTTCCCAGTCAGAGCTTTGGATCCCTGTGCTATGGCTGCTCGTCCATCCACTCAGCTCCACCATCTGCCAGGAAAGATGATGGCTGCGAAAAGATCCTTTGGTTAGTGTTCCAGCTGTCTGCAGCTTTGATCCTCACAGCCCTGACTGACTGCTGCACCACCACCTCTCTCTGATTGCCACCTCTCACCATCTGACTGGTCACTGTCTTGTCATCTTGCTGTCTCACCATTTCTCCCTCTCTCAAGTCTTTTCACTTGGCCTCTTTGTTCATTGCTACTGTCTTGCCATCTTGCCACTGATCACTGCCATTTCTGTAGTCTCAACACCACATTGGTCACTTCCTCTCACTCACTATTTCATCCCTTTGTGGCCACCAGAAGGCACAGGATAGGTGAGCCCCAAGACTGGGGCTTAGCCCAGAAGGGTTCTTGGCCTTGCCCAGGAAATAATTCAAGGGCAAGTCAGTGGTGTTAGATAACCTTTTCCTGAACAGTGCTGCTTCTTGCAGAGCAGGGTTAACTCATAGGTAGTGTGCCTAGAGTCAGCAAACTATGGGCTCTCAGCAACTAAATTTATACTCACTTATAATCACTTTCAATTATTTGCAAATTAAGGGGAGGGTTAATGCAAATTGAGGGGTGAGCTATTTAGAATTTTCTAGAATAGGGATAGTGACTTTTGGGTCATTGCCAGGGAATGACCCTTGGTGGTAAATTTTGGGTTGTTGCCATGGCATCCATAAACTGTCATGGCACTTCTGAGAGTGTGTTATGCTAATGAGCAATGAGGGCAGCTAGGAATTGCTTTTTTACCCATCTGCTGGTTTTGACTGGGTTCTTCACTTTATCTTTTCTGGACTAGATTCTGTTTTGGTTGGCAGGACTGTGGCTAGAAAACAAGTTCTGCTAGTCTTCTATCTCACTATCACATGATAGACACTTGAAAAATGCTTATTGAATTGTATAAATGCTCTCACTTGATCCTAACTATAAGACTAAAGTAGCCAACAGTGTCCCACATTACCAAAGAGGACATTGGTTCAGAGGTTGTTCCACTAATATGGCAGAGCTGGGATTCAAACCTAGGTCTTTCCCACCCCAAAATGCCACCTCTCTAGAAGTCTCCCTAAAATGTATAAAACCAGCTGTGCTCAGACCACCATGGGCACATGTCATCAGGACCTCCTGAGGCTGTGTCCAGGTGCGCGTCCTTAATTTTGGCAAAATTAACTTCCTAAATTGACTGAGACCTGTTCACAAGGCCAATGAATCACTGCTCTTCATAAGATTAAATAACTCCTAGTGTGGGAGCATTAGAGGCACTAAACTGGAAAGAGGACAAGGTGGTCAGCAAGTGAGGGGCTTGAAGGTGAGAATAAGATGTGACACGGTCACTGGCGATGAAAAGGTCCAGCACGTGACATCCAGAGTAGGAGGCTCAAGACCATGTGAGGCGTGGAGGTCAAGGAACCGAGGGGCCAAGGTGTCAGACGGATCACTCTCCAAAGAGTGGATCATGAAAATGAAGGCAGTGAGGCCAATGCTCAAGTCCTTAAGAGACAAGGAGGAATGACCAGGGCACTGGCAAGTGACAGCAACCAGGAGGGAGGCAGGTTTTCAGTCTGATGGCATAAACTTCAAGGGAGCTTTGTGCAGCATCTACAAGGCACTGGGATAGAAGGACACACATAGTCTCCCTCCCTCCTTCCATGGGTTAGGCAAGGAAGGGTTCTAGGCAAGGAAGTTACAAGATCCAGCTAGACTGTGAAAAGATCTCTTGGACTACTGTATAGAGAATGGATTGGAGGGAGGTTTGCTGGCATTAGGAGGCTACTACAGTCACTTAGACCAAGGTTGTGAAAGGGTGGATCCCAGACCAGCAGTATCAGCATCACCGAGAACTTGTTAGAAGTCCACATTCTGGGGCCCCATCTCCAGATCTACTGATTCAGAAACTCTGGGGGGCTGGAGGGGGGTCCTGTCATTGGAGTTTTAACAAGCTCCCCCTGTCATTCTAAGGCAAGCTGAAGTCAAACAAATAAAAATGGTCACAGGATTAGGGCAGTAGAAAGGGAGTGGATGAAGCTACAGTTTCTTCGGGTAAGAATAAGGACAGGGTAGCAAGGGGTTTTGGGGGGAGGGAGTGGGAAGCACCAGGTTTCCGGAAGGAGGAAATGGACGGTTGGGAGTATCCTGTACCCCAAAGATATGGGGAAGGCTGGAGGAGGAGCTGAGGGGCAGGACAAGATCAAGAGTTCGGTTCTATCCATGGCATGGGGCACGTGTGTTCCAGAGAAGCTGGCTGGAAAGTAACGCTGTGGGCAAGAACCACATTCCGCCCTAGTTCCCCACGTCAAATGCAAGACATGCTCCTGCAGAAAAGCTGCACTGGCGGCTCTGGGACATGGCATGACAATGACACACTCTGGCTCTCTGTGGTCCAGTTAAGCTTGTCAGTATTACACACTTGCAACTGAGGGCATGGTGGAAAGAGCACAGAGCCTGCAATCCAGAGGAATCAGCCCCTGGGGTTGTCTTTTCCCAGCAAGTCTTTTCACCTCTGTGAGCTCGTTTCTGCATTCCTTTGTTCTTATTTTATTTATTTATTTGTTTCTGCATTTTTATTTTATTTTTTTTTAAGACAGAGTCTTACTCTGTTGCCCAGGCTGGAGTGCAGTGGCATGATCTCGACTCACTGCGACCTCCACCTCCTGGGTTCAAGCGATTCTCCTATCTCAAACTCCTGAGTAGCTGGGACTACAGGCATATGCCACCATGCCCAGCTAATTTTTTT